TTCTAAAATTATATTTATTTCTGACCCCTGCTTATTACGGAAACCTTTCCTTTCCAATAACCCGTTACTCCGTAAATACAATACTATAAATATTAAAATATATTTATTTTTCCTGAGCCCCCGATTATTAATAACAGCAAGTTCCTGCGCCACTTTTATGTTCTTCAATGTGTCTACCGGTATACTGTAGTAGTGAGGAAGTGCTGGTCGACGCGTCGAGGTCCAGGCGCTTATCGACGAAGCGTTCACGACCCCGTGCACGCAGAAGCCAGTCGAGGAAGAAGGCAGTGGCGCACCTGTACCGCGAATTTTGTGCGCGGGGAACGACATGGCGAGCGTTGGTACGTTTGGGTCTGCGCGTTAAGGCATGTTGGTCCATCGCAAGAGTCTGGCGGAATCTTGGGGTGGACCTGAAATTTCACTCGAAGTAAATCACTACGGCGTCGGGCTTTTCACAGTGTTGGAAGGCGTCATCTGTCGATAGCGTGGAGGCTTCCAAATGGATTCTATATTTTTACAAAGAGAATTCGTATTTAGCCTTCTTTGAATAAACATTTTTTCTTACTACTCAACAATGATATCGGTGTACTTGTGTTGTTATTTCGTGTCAGCGTCTTATTTCGTAAGTGCTGTCACCCAAGACGGGTGTCTTTTCCGGTACCAGTCCGCGTACAGCTTGATAAATCTCTTGCTCCGGGCTAGTGCTGCCATAGTTCCAATCTGGTAGTCTTTCGCTAGCTTATCGGGTGTAATATTTCGAGAGTCTAGGTGCTCGAACCTTCGGACTAAGAGCCCGTGGATTTTTGCCTTGATCTGGGCAATAAACATCTCGAAGTGCACAAAGATTCCCCGTTCGTCTTCACCCTCGACAACCGCAGTCTTTTTGCTTCTTTCCATAATGTCGGCAGCGTGTACACGAGTTACATGTAGTTGCTTGCTGCCCCGGCTCAGCTGGGACAGTGGCCTCTTGTCCGATGAAGTTGTTGACGAGAAGGCATCAGTGCTTGCGCTGAGGAGGACGAAGATGGCGAGTAGCAAATACAGCGCGGGTCGCATCCTAGTGGAGGTGATCGTTGCTTGAACGGCAGGTTTCGAAGTGGGGGCTGGACGGCAAGCAGGAACGCCAAGCGAAATCAAAGCTTGATCCTCATCATATCATGGGATAGTGCCGTGTTCACGGTACTTTAGTATTATAATACTGGTAGCCTAACATAATGTTTTTAAATACAGTACTGTATTTGATAAAGCAAGGTATTGTATGGCCAGCACTCGTCGCTCTCATGCTGCCCGACTCAGGATAAATCGACATCGAATCGACACTCCTGATCTGCAAAAAATTCAGTACAGTACGGTCATTAGCGACGCAAGGCATTGTTCGAGAAGAAGCGAAAGGTGACGATGGGCTGGATCGATCCCCTGGGCGGCAACGGACCCATTTCTTAATTACTGTACAGCCATCACTTGCTGTAGCAACTCCTTCCATTAAGCTAACTGGGAGAATCTTTGCACTACTAACCAGTATCTTGACTCTTCCAGTAGCACCGGACTAGTGTCGTTCTGTGCTCCTGTGCTTCTGGTTTGTGTGGTGACTCGAGAGTCGATGTTGGTGGCGTCCGACAGTCGTTTTCGTGTCGTCCCGCTGTCCTTAAGACGTCGCTTGACGGATCGCAGAACTGCCAGCTTGGAGCTCGCCGCAAATGGCCTCTTCCTTGGAGTCTCTGTCTTTGGCACTTTAACGACCGACTGAGAGGGTTTGTAGTCATCTTCTGGGTGTGTTGCGCTGGCCTTGAGCGGTTCTTTGGGGGATTTGTTCATGCTTACAGAATAATGGGTCGTGTTTGTTTTTTTGCTTTGAAACGGAAAAGTACAAATTGAGTTTAAATCAAAACGAAAACATGTTTTATACGTCGTCACTTGCTTAAAAACAATTAAATAAATAAATAGATAGGTGACGAATATACGAAACGTGAAGCAACAATTCTCATGACGGCGGTGTATCAGTTGTGGCTCAAGAAGCGTGAATTCAAGGCCCCGCGGCAGCCTCTCAGTCCCGCAGAGAAGCCCACATTCTCCTCCTCCGTCGTATTGACCAACAAGTCGATTCAAGATCACAACAGCTCGTCTGAGGCGGCGTGTAGGCTTCTCCAGGCCAATCCCTCCAAGCTCCACAGTGTGTCAGGAGTGGAGACGACGCAAGTGACCGTAAAGCCGATTGCCAAACCTCCTGCGGTGAGGAAACGGCACACATTCAGCCTAGAAGAAGACGCATACATCAAGGACCCGACACATGACGCTAAACCTGCTGGATGGAAGCGTCAGCGTAGGGACAACAAGAACGTGCCGAAGCCTACAAGACTGAAGTTCCCGGGTGCTACAGGACCCTCTAGACAGCCGTGTACTAGCAGGAAAGGGGAGCGAGCGATATGGAGTGGGAGTGTGGATGAGGACAGTAAAGTTGCTGCTGGAGATACATGTGAGCGTAAAGTTGCTACAGCACTCAAGGGCTCTTTGGTGAAAAGTTGCAGTGCAGCGGCAAGACGTCCGCAATTAAACTTTTCGATTCGACAGAGCGAGATGGAGACGAAAAAAAAGCGAAGTAGTGGTGACAGTGCGATTGAGGATACTGTCACCAAACGTCTTCGATTTTATAAGAACCCAGAGGCAAGCGACCAAGTGGTGGAACTGAGTGCGTTTCCGCCTACGAGTCCGATGAAAAAGCTGCAGAAGAAAATTCGAACTGCCATGTTGGATGAGAGCCAGTATTGGATGGCAGTTGATAGATTCTCGCATTTAACTTGAGCTTGCGAACTAATACCATTTCATTACTAAAGCACCTACTTTGATCATGCGAGTAACGGGGTCCGGCAAAGGTGTAATTACCACAGCTATGAATCGCGGGTATGGTTAAACTTCATGAGTCCTCAAACGACGAATTACCTTAAAAAGGTAGAAAAAATGTTTATATTTTTCAGTAAATGTGGTGAAGTGACTGAAATAACAGTGTAAGCCAAAACTGTAGCGGGGTACGTAGCCCTAAGTGTACCCTGGTTACATGAAGTGTGACACTTCACACTTCAGGAGTATGACACGTCATACTCCGGGATATTTGGTACAAGGTACCAAGGTCGTTCAAAGCCAACCATTGGTTAAATGACATTGCATTTCTATAGGTAACTAATAGTTTGTATTAAACCCAAACTTAACCTACCTATAAATATACTCAGTTTACAATCTACCTTATTTAGGTCACTTCGCTCTCTTTAATTAAAGAGGGGACCTGTGAACTGCCGTTCACTGAGAGTTTGTAAACTCTCGGAAGATAACTTCCTCTAGCGCAAGGTGCTGTGTGACCCCGTCACACTTGGTAGCACTAGTAGTCAATCCACGCCACCGCGGGTAGACTACCTGAACCTCTCCGAAGCTCGTTGCCATGGATAGGAACGACTTCTCCCATATGAACGACTCTCAGTTCGAGTCGGTTCGGAAGATGACAGGCATCTTCGGGATGGAGGCCCTGCAGAGCCTGGTGGTGTCAACACCGGCTGAGCAGCTCGAGCGCGTCAATGCATTCGACGCGTACGAGCAGGGCCTCATCGCGCATGTGCGGGAGATCCTGCAGGCTCCGGCGGCGGAAGCAAATCCGCCTCACCCGAAGCCAATACGGCTGAAGGTTAAGCCGTATGAAGGGAAGGAAGGCGATAACCTTCACTTCTGGGTTCGAGAAGTAGAGCTCGCGATGGACGCGGCTCTGATCTCGACCGAGCAGCTGCGTGTTGCTTTTGCACTCTCCAACCTTAGCGGCCGTGCTAAGCGTTGGGTGTACACACGGGAAGCAACATCCCCTGGATGTTTCACATCCTGGGCTCAGCTGTGCGAACAGCTCCGAGCCGCGTTCCTCCCGGCGAACTACGAGTACCGCCAGCGTTCGCGCTTCCTCGCGTGTAAACAAGGAAGGCGCGAACTGCACGAGTATGTGCAAGAGATACGGGAGCTCACGGCGTCCCTAGTGGGAAACCAACTCAACGAACACATCAAGATGACTGTGTTCATGGACGGCCTTCGAGTGGGCCCCGCACGCACTCAGCTGTTCCGGGTGCAGTCAAGCACCCTTGAAGAGGCGATTCAAGTGGCTCTTCAAGAAGCGTACAGCCATCGCCAGGCGCGTACGCCGGCCTCAGCATGGCCTGGGAGTTCCTTGTCGGCTCCCGGTCGAACAAGCCCCAACGGACCAGTTCCCATGGAACTCGGGTCCGCCGAATAGCGTGACATCCGCTGCTTCGGCTGTGGGAAGATGGGCCACTTCAAGCGCGACTGTCCCGCGGAAAGACTCCGCAGACGGTCCTTCCCCAAGCCCGTCCTCAAGGGTCGCTGGCAGAAGCCAGGATCCCGGGGACAGGGGAGCGCCGGGAACCAGTAGGGGCGGGGCGCCCTACTGGGGAAGAACTAAGTCTTCGTGATGGGTGCGCGGGTGGTGCGTACCACGGGGACTTAGCCCCTGAGAGTCTTCGCACTCTCGAATCGGCGAAGAGCAGCGGCGGGTTGCTCGTAGTACACGGATGTGTACGGGAATACGATCATCCCTTTAGAATCTTGATCGACTCTGGGGCGTCGAAGAATTTCGCACGCCGCCAGACGGTTGCTCGTAACAGCAACAAGTTGTCCGATGCTTTAAGAGAAAGCAAGGGTAACGGGACGGTGTCAGTGCGACTGGCCGACGGGAAGGTCGTCACTGTCCCCAACGTCCAAGTGGATCTGGCCGTCAAGTTTGAAGACTTTGACAGCCTCGAACAGTTCACTGTTCTCGATATGGATCCATATGATATGATCCTGGGCATGCCCTGGCTCGAGAAGCACGAGCCCTGGATCGACTGGCGAGGCAAGGCAATCGGTGCCAGCCGCCCTGCGCAGTCCGACAGAGCATTGGTGAGTCATGTTCCCACCTCTGTCAGGACCCGGGGCGCCCGCGAGGACTGCCAGGGTACCAAAGCATCCGGCAGATGCTTGGGAGTCGTCAACGTATATGACGACTCCGAGGATGTTTTGATGGTTGCCCTGCGGCATGACGGGCCACTCCCAAAGCATGCCGCTTGGGGTGCTTACTGCGGTGAGCGGGATGTCGCTATCTCGTATCAGGATTTGGTAGTATCCGTCTACCAAATTCAGCGCACTGTACAGTACGCTCCCGGCCATGTTGTTCAACAACACATCCTATCATGGGATTGGTGTTTGGGCCGGCACCGTTGCGCTGTTTAGCTTGTTATAAGCGTGAACCAGACGCCACTTTCCGTTCGGCTTACGAACGCAGAAAGTCGGCGTCGAGTGCGGGGATTTCGACTCCCGCACCATGCCTGCCTTCGCTTTCGCGGCAAAGAAGGCATCAATGACCTCGCACTGTTCGCGCGGGAGAGGCCGTTGCCTCGTGACACAATACTTTGTGCCGGGCACGAGATCAATCTCGTGCCGTACGCCTCGATCCGGTGAGAGTTGGGTCGGTGGGTGTTTGTTCACCACGTTCGCATACTCCGTCACCAAAGGATACACCGGATCCTTGGGGTTCTTGAGAATCTCAGAACCCAAGCGCGCCTGACGCTGCTTGTTCATGTCTTCCAGGACGTTCTCGTCCAAGACAGAGGAGGAGTTCAGCTCCTCCTGAGTGGTCTCAGGTCTCATGAGTACCATCTCAGCAATCTCTCCAGCCTTGAGGTTGGTCAGGAAAGACTCAGCTGTCATTTCCTCGAGATGCAGTATCTCTGCAACCTCTGGCAACGGTTCCAAGTGGACACCAGATGCCTGGACGGGTAAACCGGTCTCGCCATCGAAGATGTGATAACACTCTCCCACCGGCCTTGTCGGAAGAGCCCGGGCCCTGGACTCCGGGTCGCTTGAAGCGACGTCGATCGGAACGAAGTTCGGATCCGACTTGAGGCGGCGGCGGCGTCTTTGCCGACGGCGTCTGTGACGGGGAGCTTTGCTGCCCACGTCTAGGGATGTCGGCGCTCAACATCCTAGGCACTCGTGGCCTCGTGGGGTACCGTGGTATCCACACAGGAAGCGAG